CATATGTCAGTTTCCATTAGATTTCTTAAATAATATAACTTTATACAACCAGGTTATGTACTGGGCTTCAGAAATAAAATTTTCCTCTACGAGGTCTTTTACAGCTAATTCAGCAGCCTCCGCTTTTTCGGGATACTGCCTACGCCTACATTGTACTACAGTCCTAGCAGCCGAATTTATGGTCAGCTGATGACAAGCGATGTCAAGGTCCATCTCGGGCATCTCCATCGTGCTCCACACAAACAAGTCAGCATTCTTCTTTAGGTAGGCCTTCAGCTGCTTCCTTGCTAAGTTGGGAGTCCTTTGTCGATCTTCACGAGTCTGTCTGCGTCATTGCCGAGGATGATGAGCTCGAAGTCGCCATCTAGAATGAGTCGCATATGGTGGAGAGGTTCCCCGTCGTTTCTAGTTGTTGGAGATGCGTCTGATGCTACTCTATTATGCTTCTACTTGTTGGTGAAGCCGTTGTCGAGGTCAACTAAATTGACGCAAGGTAACGACTTATTCTCCTCAGGTCGGGCTAGCTTGCCGACAGTCTTTGGCGTCATGTTGATCGAGTTCAGGCCCTTCATGGTTGCTTCGAAGTATCTTCTCATGACCTCAATGTTCATGTAAAGAGTGAAGACCCGACCCCTGGTCGTGAAGTACTTCATCTTCAAGTGTACAGTGGATGGCATGGCGATCACATCAGCCAAAGTTGGTCTTCCTAGGATGCACTGGTACAAAGATGGGCACTCTATGACCAGGAACCGAACTTTGACTTGTCTAGCAGTTTCCTTGGTGCCAAAAGTGACGAGTTGCTCGATATAGCCCCATAGTTTAGTAGTTATACCATTGAAGCCTTGCAGGTCAAAGCCTACATACGGTGTCAGATGCCTCTCGTCGAGCTGGAGAGTGGTGAACAGGTGAGCATACATAATGTCGACGAAATGCGACGGACGTCGAAGTTCTCCATTTGTTCTCTTACAAGCAGAGGAATGCTGGAGTTAAGGGAGCCTCCTGGAAGCTCCTCGAGGTAGAAAGTGATGGGACTTGACTTTCCTTGGAACCTGTCGAGGGTTGCATTCTAGTTCGAGCTCGCGTCGATCATCTCGTCGAAATTTCTTTTCACCGACCCCACGATGAGCTTGTTGAATCCTCCACCTGATATGAACATAGCGGAGTGGAAGCTTTCCCACGTGTTGTGGGCAGACAAGGGTATGTCGACCTTGTCGGGGACGTAGAAGTTCTTAGGCCGAGAGATGCAGAGGGCGACTGGTAAGTCGGTGTTGTCAGAAGGTGTTGCTTCTTCTTCGACCTTCTTCGCCTTGCGGACATCCTGTCGAGGAGCCTTCGTTCCTCTTGGTGTACTACTTCAGGCATCCCTCCTTGATAAGGATTTCAATTGCATTTTTGAGGTGGATGGAATCCTCGATGACGTGCCAGTGGCTTCTATGGAACCGACAATACTTGGATTTGTCCATGTTTGGTTTAGGAGGTGTCGACCTAGGAAAACGGACCCCACCTTGTTGGAATTCTGAGTTTATAGACTCGTCTAGGATACGCTTGCAAGGAGCGATCAGCAGCGTGTACTCAAAGAAGCGGTATGCTAGTCCTCTGTTCTCGCGGGAGTCGCAAGGCTTGTCATCTCTTATTTTCTCCCCCGCCACATCTAGGAGCCATCGGGTCGTCATACTTCGCGAATTTGGCGCCCTCTTTGTTACTTGAGTCACAGATATTGTTAGTGGTCTCTCTCTCCTCGTACTGGATGTAGGCATGGACTTTGAGAAGAAGGTCATCCAGCGAATGGGGTGTTTCAATGCCAACTGCTTTGGTGAAGTTACTGCATAGGCGCATCCCTCACTCGAGCAAGTATCTCTTCATCCGATCAGTTGTGGAGATCTGGACGGCCTCTTGATTGAACCTCTCTATGTAGTCTCGGAGAGATTCATCCTTCCCCTGTATGATTGCCTCGAGCGACGCCTCAAATTTTAGGTGTTGTCGAGAGACGGTGAAATGCATGGTAAACTATGTCTTCAGATCCTTCCAAGAGGTCATGGACTCCAAGGCGAGGCTTTTGTACCACGTCATGGCACCTTTCCTCAGATTTGTGGGGAAGAGTCAACACTTAATGGCTCCCTTGACATTGCGGTAGTCGAGCATTGCATTGATGTGTTTGATGTGATCATCCGGATCCGCCGTGCCATCATAGGTTTCCAAACTTGGTAGTTTTTCCATTCCAATGGGGATGGGGGTATCCATAATTTCTCGTGACAATGGACAACGGGGATCGTCCTTGTCGCTTCGGACCGGTGAGCGTGACGGGGATAGGCCGTGTCGAGGGCTTGTGCCACGGCACGAAGAGTTCTTTGGTCGACCCCTCGACTTGTCCAGTTGCCCGTCGGCCTTGCTCCTCTTGGGCACGGGGGAGCGCCGCTCCCTGCAAGGAGGAGTGCGACCACGCTTCTGGGTAACCGCAGGTTGTGGCCTCTCTAGTCGCGGGCGACGTCCAGGTTGTCGCGAGGAAAGGCTTCGAGACTCGTCCCTTTGGTGTCTCCGCAGGGGAGAGTGTGGACAGGAGTCTCGTCGTTGTGGGGGCGGTCTACGAGAGTCCGGTCGTCAGTGTCTCCACGAGGGAGAACGCGATTGGACGTCTTTCTCCAGCATTTCAATTCGTTCATTCTGCTGGAAAATCATGAAGTTTGTATGGTTGGTTGCAGCGAATAGATCCATTGTGTTAGGGTCAGCGATAGGTAGTACGGGAATTGGTTGAAAACCTCCCAAATTCTCAAAGTGTTGGGCGGCGTTGTAGGCTGCATCTTCGGATGAAAGGTCCGTCTCTAGGGTCACCCACTTCAGCAGCGGCTGTCACATTGTTGTCGTGGTCATCACCGACAGTGAAGACAGCTTTCTGGACGTTATCGTCGTTGTGTTGATTAGCCATGATTGAAGGTTTGCTTTGGTCTTTAGGATTCAAGGAATGAAAAGACAGGGAGCAAAAGGTTCCCACAAACAACGTCACTAATCTTACCGGGATCAGAAAGACAATCAGCGACCAGCAACACGTCGTGAGCTCCAAATTCGCCGATGATGAAGAAGAGGAGGGGGTGTACCTACAAGATACTCTGATGTCAAAGTGAGGTTCAGAGTGAAAAAGAGAGCAAGTACATAATGAGTTTAGAATACCTGACTCTTATGTGGAGGAGGATATTTATAATGTGCCCCTAGCGTTGGGGCAACGGTCGTCTGTTGTGGGTAAGACCCACAACAGGTGACTGCCCTGATCCTACGTGGAGGCAAGGAAGACCAGCACGTGGCCTTCGTCCTGGGTCAACTGCTCGCGAACTTCGGGTAATGGATGACTTATTCTCACGGACGTGGGCTCAGCTGGTGATGTGTTCCCGCGCGAGGAACACATGAAGAACGTGTGGGAAACGCTACCTCCAATGGCTATGGAGGATTAGGCTTGTGTTAGGCCCTCCTCGACGCGGAGCCGGGTTGGGTTGTGCCCGACGGTGGGCCAGCCCCAAGCCCAATCCATAACAGCTTGTGAGAAAATCAAACTGATCTAAATCAAATTATAGTAAAAATTCACTCAAACTGAATCAAACCATTTTAATTTATTCAGTACCGGACCTAACTAAAGTCATTGGTTTTATATACCGTTTATAAATTTTGAACTGTACTTAACCATTAAAAGACAATTTTATCTAAATCGAGTTAAAGAATCAAATTTTTTTAAGAAAAAAAATTAAAACTTATTTTTAGAATTTTTTTAAGAAAAAAAATTAAAACTTATTTTTAGTATTTTTTTAATTTTAGTTTCTGTTCGATTTTATAAAATATGATTTGATCAACTAACTAAACATAACAGTTTAGTTATTTTAACCTCAATTTGATTCGATTCAACTGAATCGTTCAATTATGTTTAGTTATTTTAACCTCAATTCGGTTCGATTCAACGATTCAATTCAATTTAATAATTTAGTTATTTTAATTTCCATTCAATTCGATTCGGTAATTCAATACAATTTATAATTCAGTTCGATTCGATTGCTCGGTATTATTTTTAATTTGAGTTTCTTGATACGAGAGGACGGGAGGTATCATTGCAGGTACCTATATGTTTCACGTGGAAAATCAAAATTTTGTTTAAAGAGTTAGCTCAGAAGGAGGCACCATAACACACACACTGCAAAAATAATTCTTTTTAAAACATTTTATTATTAAAAATAATCTTAATAGAAAAGATATAGAAATATAGTGTGTTGTATTTTTTTAAAACATCAATAAAAAATTATTTGATCATCCGCAATTTTTTATTTGAATGACTTTTCAAGCATAGTTTAATAATCTTTAGATATTTCATGTCAAAATAAGTTTTATTACAGTCTATAAAAAATAAATCTTATGTGTACTACAGGGCTTTTAATTTTTCTTTAAAGTGTAACACAAAATAGATGCTTAGATTTTTTAACTACTTGGTTCAGAGTTCCATACATGTATGAAAAATTATCTGTTGAGAAAATATCAACTCCTTAAATGAATCTCAATTATTCACACACAAAAACCAGTCTGTAATGCCATATCAGAGAAGAAGACAATGACAGATTGCTTTTGATCATGGCAGAGCACATAGAAGACGATGGAATAGTTCGAATATTATTTAAGAAAAAACTTGTGAACAATAATGGTTTATGCAAAGAGAAAAGGGCCATGTAAAAAACATTTTTGTAGGAGTTTTAGGCCTCTCGCAGTTCCATTCATACTACTTCTCAGTCACGGTAAAAATAAACCAAAACACCACAGTTGAATTTAACACACTTCAAAAAAGCAGTATCTGTTCTTCGATGACAAACTCCTTTCAGAACAATTCATATTATTTTCAGCAACCTACCCTTCGCCTCAACATGAAAGGGTAAAGGCAAAGATAACAAGAGAAACCAAATTCTAGAAACATCCAGTGAAAGAAGGGAAGGTAAAGGGTGCAATCCAAATTTGAAATGAACACTTTGATTCACTTAACTAGACATTGGGTGGTTAGAAATGTACTCAATAGCAAGCGGACAAGAGTCGATTTTATCAGCTTCCATGTCTGGGATTTCAAGCTTGAACTCTTCTTCTAGTGCCATTACGATTTCCACGGTGTCTAAGCTGTCCAAACCCAAATCCTTCTGAAAATGCACTTCTGGAGTCACCTGACAAACCATTAAACCCAAAAATATATACATATTATTTGCACTGCTTAAAAATGATGTTAACCAAATCACTCAGAAGAATATTTGTATACAACAATAAGAAAGTGCAAGTGTCTAGATATATATAGAATGAACAATGAAAATAATAATCTAAAAGGGGAAAAAAAGTGCTGTCAGTGTAAATTAGTCGGCATAAACTAGTTTGTGAAGTGAATTTGAAAACATCATAGATTGTGAAATTAACCATGAATTGTAGAAAAGTCCCTTTGAGCTATTTATTTTTATTTTAAAAGACACTTATGACTGTTTTACAACTGTCTCATATGAATCACCTTACGATTACAACTCTTACCACTGAAACAACACAAATATGATGAAACCAAACAGACCCTACATATCTAAGTTGGGAATGTAACATACTACATATTCTGGATTAACTTTGTTAAAAATATGATGAAACCTTCTACTCTGAACAAATATATATGTATATTAATACTAGTGCTGTTTGAACTCGAATAAAAATATGGAATATTAAAAAAGTCTTACAAGTTCAAATATTACTGTCAACAAGAATAATAAGGGCTTACGATAGGATTTAACCTAAAAAAAGGTTAGCAAAAGGTTGCACACACAGCATTATCAGAAAAGGGAAAAGGTAGAAAACTTCAAAAGACTTAGCAAAAACAGCATTATCAGTATCAGCCTCCTCCCTATGCACAGTACACGAGAGGTTGAAGTCAGAAGCTTGGGCCCAAGTAGAGGGAGCGTGATTAATATAATTAATGGTCATCCAGAACCCATTCAATAAAATACTTTGGGCTTTGCAAGATTAATCAACAAAATTGCATATATTTTTTAACCCAGCGAGTCTAGGAAATGGGTTAGGATTTCACAATTTTAGTACCTTTTACAAGATTACAGCCAAAGATTTTTATTTGGAACTTGAAATTTTTATTTTATGAAAACAATACTTAAAACAAGCCAAGATAAAAGAGGAAGAAGAGAAAAGTATAAACAAGGGGACCTATAAAGCAACGCGACAATAATTAAATGTCGATGGCGGATGGTGGTCCGTGGCGGAGAGCCAAAATCCCGCCACACCGTCCATTTTGCTTTGCAGTGCCGTTATAGCGGATTATGACAGGAAAACCTGCAATATCGGCAAGGCCGTCTTTGAGGGTGTGCAAGGCGGCCTACAGCACAGGGCCTCACTTTTTCATGATTAAGCTATGGAAAAAAGGGTCTCCATTAATTTACAATTAAATAGGGTCTCATAAAAAATTTCACTAACTTAATTGAAGCTAACTTCAACTTCTTACACAGGGCCTCTTAAAAGATTGAGACGGCTCTGAATATCGCCCAATAATGCCAAAAACTACCATGTATATCTGCCATAGCGGCCATGGCACCACCATTTGATAACATTGATTTAATAACATGTGTCGGTATTGTGTTTGACACCACAAACAGCCTTCTGTCTAAACTGTCGGCACTGCATAGAAGGGAACTGTCTTTCAGTCCCAAACTACGTCAAGCCTGGAATCTTGTAAAACAATGAGAGATTTTCAAATTATTTGACTATTTTCCAGTTTCCACATTTTTTCCAGGATTGTATGCTAGCTAAACATTCAGAAGAGAGGAATTCCAAAGATAGCATATCATTGAAATTGTCACAAATTAGGTGTTACTAATATCCCTTTCAACTATACATCAAAATGCCACATAGAAAGGAATATCACCAGTCACCACTTACAAGCCTGTTTTGTAGGGATGAGTTAGACCCAACTCACACATTCTAAGATCTCTCATTAAATCTTCCAACAATTCCAGACATGACTGAACAGACACTGCCCATATAATTTGTGAGCTAAATCTACAAAATTTGGGGAAACCCATATGGATAAATCAACATAATAACAGGTTGGAAAGACCCATTTCTCATCTTCGGCACAAATTAAGATAATAAACAAACAAACACTCGCAAGATGGGCTAATGATTTGTCAAAATTTGTGAAAACCATTTTAGGATACACATTTCCACATCTCTCACACTTCTTAACATTACAAACACAAACCAGACGGTTATTAAGTTCAAATTTCAAATTTTGGGAAAACCCTTTTGAATAGGCCAGCAGAATAACGATTAGGGTTAGGTTAACTAGTACTAAATTTTCACAAAATTACCCAGATGTTTATTGATGTAAAACTCCAATCTTTGGGGAAATCCATAAGGACAAATCAACAAAATAACATTTGGGAATGCCAATTGCTCAGTATTTTTCTATCTCACAATAATGAAGACTAGAGATTAAGCGAAATGAAACGGTAAAAATGAAAGAAAAGACCTTGGAAGGATCCACTTTGGGGAAATCTTTAATGACGGAGAGTACTCGATCGACGACTTCTTCTTTGGTGATATGATCGTCGTGTGAAGACATGGAGCGAAAGAAACCATTCCATGGTTGCAATTTAGGAGTAGCTTGAAGTGGCACGCGAACATGGCGGAGTATGGCTGCTCTCAGTGCCATTTTCTTCTCTTTCGATCTCTCTCTTTCTCTCTCTCACTCACTCTCTCTCTTAGCAAACGACTGTGTTAGAGGAATTGTCACAACCACGATGAGAAAAGGGTTCGAGTTGCTTAAAATACTAGTTACACCCCCTACTTTATTGGTTAATTCCATAGCCTAATGGGCTAGTTAAATATTCATATTTTTATAGAATTTTTTAATCCACCTCTTTTATACTCTTAGTCATCTATCGTATTTTCTTTTATGTCCTCTATGTTTAGAGCTGTATTTTCGAAAGCACTCGTTTTTTTCTTTACGCTGGATGCTTCCGGAGATATATCTATAGAAAAAGTTCCATAGATGGATCTCCAAAATCTTATCAAAACATGTTTTTTTTTAAATTAAGTTTTGTTGATCGCAGATGAAAATTAACTATTGTAGATGAATATAAAATAATATACATCCGTAAATAAAATAATATGAAAATAGTACATTAATGTCATTAAAATATAGTATATATAAAAAAAACACCACAATCGCTATTGTCTGTGCTTGACAACATCTTCATCATCTCCTTTGTCTATGCCTCTGCCATCTCCTCGGCCTTTACCGCCTCCTCGAACACCCGATCTGCGTCCTCGACCATCGATCTCACTCGTCATAGCGCGATGTTTGCGGTACATAAGTGCCCCCTGTGCCACCGCAATCATCTCATCTAATATATGTTTGTGGTCAGACCCCTCAAGGAAGAAGCTGACGTCAATGTCTGCCCGCCCCATTTCCACTATCTGACGACAGCGAGGAAGAACATCTTGAGTGTGGTCCAGGCCGTAACTGATCTCACAAAGGTCCTTCAAACTAGAGGCGGCAAGGAAGTTTTGGAACCAAGCCTCATGTGGTTGATCCAAAGCTAATATCTTTCGCCCATGGCTATAAAACTTCTGCGGAGGACGAGTCTGAAAATTTCCATAAATAAGAGAAAATGTTAATAAGAAACAATAGTACAAATTATAAATTTCCAATGAAAAAAAAGAAACAATCTGAGTAATGTTACCTCTCCATCCCAGACATGTCTGCCAGTATGGTCAACGTACCTTGTTAGCAGGGATATATCTGAGGGACCTCTTAGAAAACCCTCAGGCTCATCATCGTCATCGTTACTAGCATCATCTGGTGGTGGGTAATCACCCTCTAGAGGTGGCACCAGATCAACATCATCGGCAGGAGGAGGAACATAAGTATCCTGACGAGGCCTGCGGGAGGACGGGGCTTGTGATGAACCCTCGGCTGAATCCCGACGCCTCCGGAATGAAGAAGTGGATGATGGGGTGGGATACAAGGTCGATGGAGTGTCCTAGGCATGTGATAAAAAAGGTTGTGCAGTACGTTGTGCTCGTGTAATGACCTGACTCCGCTCGCGTCTGATAGATACATATTGGAATATAAAAAAAAAAACATTTAAATGAATGCTCCTTGTCAAAATCGATTGAAAAAAATTAAGTTTGGTGAAAAATAATTTTTTGAGGATTGAGAGAGTTTGGAGAGTTTGAGAGAGAAGAAGATGAAAAATGAAGAATGAGGGAGGAGAAGAGACTCTGGCGTAAATGTATTCCAATATGTTTTGGAGCTACATAAACAGAAATATTCCGTAGATGTAGCTCTGGAAAAAACTAAAGTTGAGTAAAAAATGTGCGTCCGGAGATACATCTCTGGAAGCAGGGAGTACTTTTGGAAGTGCACATGGTGCCTAAGAACCCTAAGGGGTGGGGTAAGAAATTCTCTTTTTTTAAATAAGTTTTTTTTTAATATTTTAAAAGAATCTAATCAACTATCAACCCTTCAAAAGTTGATTGTATGGCTTGACAATATTACCCTTCTAAACATTTTATTTTACACTACATTTTAGTAAATAACAAAATATAGAAATTAATCCAAAATATGACTCTCCCTTCCTGCCAAATGCCCATTAACAATTTGCTTCTTAAATTTTGTTTCCCATTCCAACATATACAAAGTCACACGCAAAACTTCTGCTTTTTCTCTGTCACTTGCTTCTGTCTCATTCTCTCTCTTCAATTGCAGCTACTTCAAACTTATTCCATCTTCCACTTCAACATTGTCCAAGTAGTACTTGCTTCATTACCCTTCCGCCAAGAAAGCACCGCGCAAGTTCATAACTGTACGAAATCACCATCTTTCGTCTCATTCTCTCTTCATATTCATTTTTATACTTTTATTTCTGTTTGTGCCATCATATGTATGTTTGTGCATGTTCATTAATAAACTTCAATTTCATACTGCATTTCTAAGTTGGTTGTAATGAACTTCTATTTCATAATTATTACACTTCTATTTTATATTATTACACTTCATTTATACAATCTCAGCTAGTACCTAATTGATTTTTGGTTCAATTCACTTTCATTTTTACATGATTGTTATAGTTGAACAAGTATTATTTTGATGGATATTTTGACATGAATATTGGATTGTATATTCTAATGGATATTGGATATTGGATATTGTTTCACCATTCTACATTATGTTATGCTAACTCTACTAGAAACATTTAAATCTGCAGGACTTTGTGAAGAAAGTTTTACACTGCAATTGTTGTCTTGCTAACTATTTTTCATGCCTTTTTCAATACTTTTTAACCATACACCAATTTCTATTACAATATTCATGTTAGTTACTTATGTACATTATATACCATTATATGAATATAATAGAATCATCTTCTTCACTCATGCATAAGCATTTAGATATTACTGATATCCATTTGGAAGATCCTGGCGATGCTAGCATATATATTGTTTACAATATGTTAGACTAATTCACTTTTTAACCAAATCTTCTTTTTCATTTCCCGTTAAGGGTGGACATCTTTTCAACCAAAAATTGACTTGTCTAATATTTCTTCCATCAATTGGTCGGATTAAAACGGTTTCACGGTTATCACGGGGATCTTAACAATTGTGTGGAGGTTGTTATATGCATTCTGTGAGACATTGGATCGAACTCTAGTGTGGTCGAAGTCTGTTCGCAAGTAATGCATGTTGTAGTCGAAGTTTGTTCTAACATGCATGAGTAAATATTGCTAAGGTTGTTAGCATGAGTAAATATTGCTAAGGTTGTTAGCATGAGTAAATATTGCTAAGGTTGTTAGCATGAGTAAATATTGCTAGGGTTGTTAGCATGTGCTATTATAAATAGGATGCTAGTTTCTCAATCTTGGCATAAGGAAAAATAGGAAGATAAAATCCTAATTTCAAGGGAGAGAGGTTATTTTGTTATTCTTGTATACTTGTAATCTTGTTCAAAGAGAAAGGAAAGAATAGCAGTTTAATAACCAATCCTTGTTGTTCCTTGTTGTTTTACCTTGTTTTCTTTGTTAACCCTAACCCTTGTGTGTTTCTTGATCATTAAGAAACCGTTTATACTTTGTTTAAAGGTATCCGATTCACAACAAATTGGTGCGGTGAGCGTGGAGAAGATGCCTTCAACAAAGTATGAGATTGAAAAGTTCACCGGAGTGAACGACTTCGGTCTGTGGCGCTTGAAGATGAAAGCCCTATTGGTTCAACAGGGTTGTTTGGAAGCGTTGAAGGGTGAGGCAGCCATGGACGCTGCGTTAACGGCAAAAGAAAAGACGGGCATGATCGAGAAAGCCCACAGCGCAATATTATTGAGCCTTGGTGATAAGGTTCTTCGACAGGTATCAAAGGAGACTACAGCATCGGGATTATGGGTGAAACTTGAAAGTTTGTACATGACCAAATCTCTGGTGAATCGACTATACCTGAAGCAAGCTTTATATTCATTCAAGATGAGTGAAGACAAAGTGTTGGCTGAGCAGTTGGATATGTTCAACAAGCTGATTCTTGATCTTGAAAATATTGATGTGAAGATCGATGATGAAGATCAAGCACTATTGCTGTTGTGTGCTTTGCCCAGAACACATGCTCACTTCAAAGAAACTCTCTTGTATGGAAGGGAGTCCCTGACCTTTGAAGAAGTTCAATCAGCCTTGTATTCTAAGGACTTGAACGAACGAAAGGAGCATAAACCTTCGACGGTGGGCGAAGGTTTGGCCGTTAAGGGAAAATTCTTGCGAAAGGATGGTAAGTTCGACAAGAAGAAAGGTAAAAATCAACAGAAGTCTTATAGTGGCGAAACATCTAGTATTCGATGTTATCACTGTAAGAAGGAGGGTCACATAAGAAAGGTGTGCCCTGAACGCCTGAAAGATCATGGAGGTAATGGCAATGCAGCCATTGTTCAAGATGACTTCGACTCATCTGATGTTCTTGTGGTTTCAAGTGGCGACTCGAGGAAAGAGTGGATTATGGATTCAGGTTGCACTTGGCACATGACTCCAAACAGAGAATTGTTCGAGGAGCTATGTGATCAAGATGGTGGATCTGTGCTGTTAGGAAACAACAAATCTTGCAAAATTGCAGGTATTGGATCTGTGAGATTCAAGCTCCATGATGAGTCAATAAGGTTATTGACTGAAGTCAGGTACGTACCTGACTTGAAGAGAAATTTGATTTCTCTTGGTGAATTCGATAGAAAAGGATATGCTTTTCAAGGAGAGAAAAGTATCCTAAGAGTCATGAAGGGGTCGAAGGAAGTCTTGAGAGGCGTGAAAAAACAAGGCTTGTATACCCTTGAGGCTGAGGTTGTAAGTGGTTCGACAAATGTTGCATCCACGAAATCTATGTCGAAGACAGAATTATGGCACATGAGATTGGGCCATGTCAGCGAAAGAGGCCTGGTCGAATTGGGGAAGCAGAACCTGCTAGAAGGTGACAAAGTCGAAAAGTTGGAATTTTGTGAATCTTGTGTATTTGGTAAATCCTGTAGGGAGAAGTTTAACAAAGGCAAGCAAAGAACACATGGATCTCTGGATTACATTCATGCCGATCTTTGGGGGCCTGCAAGGAATCCTTCACACTCAGGTGCAAGGTATTTTCTATCCATCGTTGATGACTATTCCAGAAAACTATGGGTATTCA